CCTCTGAGTGGATCCCTGTGCACCAAGCTGCTCTTGACCTGAGGAGGGGGTGATGTGGGCAAAATGCTTCCTGTGCTTTTCTATGTGACCACCTTTCGGTTTTAAGCTCTGCAGGAGTCTTGCTGCTTTTTTGTTGTAGTCCAGAGCTTTCCTTGAGTTATTTTCATTGGTCTGTAATTGTTTATTTACAGTTTTTGTTGTTTCTGTGGGCGAGATGAGATTGGGATCCCCTGGCCCTCCATCTTGCTGACTGATATTACCTCTCTTGCACATGGCAGAGCTTTAAAAACTGCTGAGCCCTGGTCCCACCTGGAGGCTCTGATTTAGTTGGTCTTAGATGTGCCAACATATCGGGGAACTGCAGGCTCCCAGGTGACTCTAATATATGCCATAGTTCCCTTTCTGAGCCTCTGCACTAGAGGAACAAGCTGCTTTAACTTGTCCTAGCTGGAATACTCTGGTATTACTTTAATGCCTCCAATGACAATAGTTTGAGAGGCAGGAGACAGAGAGACAGAGTGCCCATTGCTATATGACTACACACATTTATGCTGCTGAAATAACCTTTTAAATGGTGCCAATCCATATTGAGAACAGATTCATCCAAAGCTCAAATGCTTTCACATTTGGTTCAGTGAGTGTGCTTAAGTGTGAGTGGCCAGATCACAACAGATGTTCAGAGCATTTTAGTTATTTTCTTGAAACACTTTTTTTAAAAACAAGTCACACCTGTAAGAGTCCCAAGTGTTTGGACTGATGCCTGAAAAATACACACTGGATCTGTGAATCTTTGTGGGACTTTGCTCTGAGCTTGAGACACTTCCATTTCCGTACACTAGGTGGCACCAGAAGACCGCCAGGCTGGGGATGCTGACTCCCAGTCACCGAGGCTCTGTGGAATTGAGGCAACAGAGTATCTTTTTTTTTTTTTTTTTTTTCAGATGTTAGTAGGATCCAGACAAGGCAAAAACAACTCTGTGTGTTGCTACTGGGATGAAATGCAGAGGTTCCTGTTGTCTGTGGGGTGTTGGATCTCCTTGGGTGAGAAACACAGGCAGATAAACATTAGTTCAAGGTGACAGCTGCCAGATAGGGGGCCTAGCCAGGTGCATTGTGCTCAGAGGAAGGGGCTGGGATGGGGGAGGGGTCTGATAAGACACAGAAACTGCCCTGTCCCTGCGTTCAGACAAGCCATAAATAAATGCTGATATTTAGCACTTTCTTTTGAGAAAGAAACAGTTTCTCACAGCAGATAGCAGGTTTTCATTTCTAACATCATCGATAGCAGGTAGACTCAGGTCCTGACTGACACACAGGCAAACAGAGGACAGGGAGCTTTTAAGGAGTTTAAACTGACCACCCACACAAAGAAAAGGGTGTATTCCTGTGACTCCACTTCTGCCAGATGTTTCTGGAATTAGAAAATGGGGCTAATTTTGTGGAGAGCTAGAGAGGAGCTGTTTCTTCTGACTGATGGGAGAGCTGGCCCATCTGTTGTTAGAGGCGTGCGTTTGATCTGAAGACAGAGCTTCAAGGTAGAGTGGAAACACCAGCATGTCCTTGGGCTTCCCTGTCCACAGGCGGCTGACAGCTTCCGGATCAGACCGCTGGCGACGTGAACTGAAAGACCTAGCACAGCATCCCAGAGTGGCCATGCAGGCAGCCTCACCTGAAATGACTTCTTTGGTCCGCCTGACTTTCTGCATTCATCTGTCCTTAGATCAAGACTAACTCACCTTGCAGATCAGGGAGGTCCTATCACACCTCTTTCCTTTTGATTACCCTTCTCCTTTTACACCTCTCGCTATTGATACACATTCTGGAGTTGCCCTGACTGGATGCTTGTTTTCTCTTTGGCATTTCATCTAGTGTGCTGGCAAGGCCTGGACAAGGCCCCTTACTACCATATTGGATTTTTTTCCCCCTTAATTGAGAGACAAGAGAAAGCTGCAGATGACCGTTTTATCTGATTGGAGTCGCCTTGCTGGTGGCAGCTGTCTGTTTGGGAAAGAGATCTTGCTCCAGAGTATTCACGTTGGGGTAACCAGCTCTTTCTGACCGTTGTGGGTCAAGACTCAGAGCAGGTAGCCGCAGCACAGCCGAGGTTGGGAATCATGGCTCATGTGGACACGAACGTCAGCAGAGATTGTGTGAAAGATGAAATCTCCTGTTTCTTTATTCAGAAGGCAGCGTCTCTGGTACCAGTAGGCCCGAGTCCTGGCAGTGGACAACTGTTAGAGCCCACCCTCTTTCTTTTATGTTTTGCTAGTGGCAGGGGTCTATAACGGAGGCCACTGCCACCAGAAACCATCCCTCAGGAAGCTAAGTGCTGTCAGCATCTTTTATTGGGGTCACCTAGAACCCTGCTCCTCAAAGGCTGATACACAGACCACCAGTATTGGGGGTTTGTTAGAAATGCAGAGTCTCGGGGCGCCTGGGTGGCTCAGTCGGTTGGGCGGCCGACTTTGGCTTAGGTCATGATCTCGCAGTCCGTGAGTTCCAGCCCCGCCTCAGGCTCTGTGCTGACAGCTCAGAGCCTGGAGCCTGTTTCAGATTCTGTGTCTCCCTCTCTCTGACCCTCCCCCATTCATGCTTTGTCTCTCTCTGTCTCAAAAATAAATAAACGTTAAGAAAATTTTTTTTTTAAATAAAAAAAAGAAATGCAGAGTCTCAACAAACTGAGGGTTGATGGGGGAGGGGTGGAGGGGGAGAGAAAAATGGGTGGTGGGCATTGAGGGGGGCACTTGTTGGGATGAGCGCTGGGTGTTGTATGTGAGCGATGAGTCATGGGAATCTATTCCTGAAGCCAAGAGCACGATGTATATGCTGCATGCTAGTTAACTTGACAACAAATTATATTGAAAGAAAGAAAGAAAGAAAGAAAGAAAGAAAAAGAAAGAAATCTGCACTGTAACAGGATGCGTGTGTCTGCAAAAGTTAGGAAAGCGGTAACTCAGGAGTATGGCTAGCCCTGGGGTTTGTGTTTGGTCGAGCCTTCCCAGTCTCCTGGGCCAGTCTGACCATCAGCAACCCGTTTAGCACAGATGGGGGATGCTGGTCCTTGATGCGAGGTGCCCTGGGAGCTGGCTCATCTACAGAGAGTGGGGCGGGCCTGCGGACTCTTCGGGCAGGACTCACAAGGACTCACAAGGCCAGCTTATCGCAGCAATGATCATGGTTTTGCCCCTTTTACTGTGGGGCATGGTTGTTCGCAGTTGCCCCCGCAGTGCCAGGTGAGTAGCCCGACAGAGGCTGCCAGTTTCTCACCTGCCCCCCATGCTGGGGAGCTGCTGGGCAGTTGGCCATGGAACCCCAGTCTCCCTGACACACGTTTCTGAGGTCCACATTCACAGGGAAACAGTAGATACTAATGCAGCAGTGTTGTCATGAAATCACCAAGCCACTGTGGAGGCATTAACACGGGTAACACCGGTGGGCCTTGACCGGGAGAGTCCGGGGACTTTTAGCCTGGCTGTGTGTTTACCTGGTTTACCTATTTCCGGGGTCTGCCTAGCTTCTAGGGGCCAGCGTGGGACCAGATGGGTGCCATGCATGGACTGATTCCATCCTTGCCGTGCTGTATTCTCTGTCTGAAGGATGAAGAAAGCCCAGCTCAGTGGGTCACGAGGCAAAGTCCCTTCCTTGCCCAAGAGGGCAGGCTGCGCTGCACACGGCCCTGGTCCGCTTGATGCCACACGGGCTTCATCCCCACGCAGCTTCTTTCCGGTCGCTTCTGTGGGCCGCTCCCCGATTCTCTGCAGCGCTGTGATCAAGAGTAGGGCTGAGTTTGGTTGGAATCTCAAAGAATGAGGAAGTGGGCCATCCGGGGGTTCCTGGTGTGTGAGGCGGGGGGACAGACAACCGCACTCTGGACCCCAGCTGTGCCTTTCTGTCTCGTGGCTTTGGTTACCTGCGATGGGTTCTGACATGCTCCAGCTCGCAGATGGTGCCAGGCGGACGTGCCGACAGCTGATTTCATGGCATTATTCTCACACATGAGCTTATATTTGTGTGGAATGATGAGGAACAGTGCCCGGTGTCCCTTCTTTTGTTTATATACAGTTTTTCCTTTGTGTAGGAGGAAAACAGAGCTGACTCCCTTTTAAGGGACATGAAAACTGAGTTTTGTCTTCCCTTCCTCTTACTGTCAAACAAAAGTCACCTTAGAACTCAAAATCACATGGGGTCTATCACTGGCAGGAAGCAAGGCCTTCCCTCGTGAATGTATAACTTACAGTAAGTTCTCAGCAGACCAAAAAAAAAAAAAAATGCCTTTTATCATGTTCTGGTCTTTCCCTCCCACTGTTTTATTTCACTTACAACATCACTCAGGCCCAAATGGTATTTGTCAGGAGTAATTGGCAAACGCTGGAGGCTGTGTTCAAGGCTGCTTGAATGGAAAATCTCAAAGCAGTCATCCATGTTGAAAGAAAATATTACATTTGATCTTTTTTTATGATTTCTGCAGACGTGATGCATGTCTGCATTCTTTAGCCTTATAACCCCTTTGTATTTGAGAGAGAGAGAGAGAAAAAAAATCCCTGTAGGAAGTAGCACTTCACAGGTAATTTACAGTATGCCTGAGAAGTAACCACAACACATGGGGAGTCATTTTAAAAACACGTCCATGATTTATTTTTATTAGCCGTCTAATAAACCTGCGCCGGCCCGCAGGTTGTTCTACGTTGAATTATGACTTCAGGCCTCGCGTTTCATGTCTGCTTCTACCAGGCTGTTTCTGCTTCTGGTTGAAAATACGCCTAAGGACGGCGGCAGCCATCCGCCAAATGCGCGATGCCCCCCTCACTTGGTCTGGTTTGTAAGCGACATGCTTTCCTAAGCAGGGTGTCATCGAGCCAGCAAATTAGAACCGGCAGATCCAACTGAGGTCGTGAGCACAAGTGCGTGCATGACAGTGCTGGGGTGAGCCGTGCCCGGGTGTCCTGAACAGCTGGTCTGAGCACTCTGCCCAGAGAGTCCCTCTGTGTTTTCTCTTCCAGGGACACAGTACAGCCTCCGCGACAGGGTGTGGAGGCTTTTTTAAGCCACATAACCTAATAGAAGGACACCTTCCTCCCTGTTCCAGACGTGTATACGTGCGTCCTCGTAAGGAAAGGACACAGGACGTCAGAGTTCATGGCAAGTACGTATCACCTTATATTTCCTACACTGGGGTAGTTCTGGAGCAAAAAGATATACCAACAGTCCTCTCAGTGTTATAGAGACTCTAGATCAGGGGCCAGCGAACTGCCAGTCCCTATTTTTGGAACTGAAGTTTGGTTTTTTCCTAAATACAAACTTAAAAAAATTGTGGTTCGTGACCTGAGCTGAAGTCGGACGCTTAACCGACTGAGCCACCCAGGCGCCCCAGTTAATCATTTTTTTAATGTGTATTTATTTATTTAAGAGGCGGGGTTGAGGGGCAGAGAGAGAGGGAGACAGATAATCCTAAGCAGGCTCTGTGGTGTCAGCACAGAACCCAATGTGGAGCTCGAACCCACCAACCGTGAGATCATGACCTGAGCTGAGACCGAGAATTGGATGCTGAGCCCACTGGGCCACCCAGGTGTCCTCGTAACCATTTTTAAGTGTACAATTTAGTGGCATTGAGTATAGTGCTGTGCAACCATCACCATGGCCTGTTTCCAAAACTTCATCACCCCAAAAGGAAGCTCTGTATCCGTTAAACAGTAACTCCCGTCCCACCCCTGCCCCTGGTAGTCTCTAATGTACCTTTTGTCTCTATAATTTGCCTATTTGAGATATTTCATACCAGTGCAGTCATACACTGTGTGTCCTTTTGTGTCTGGTTTATTTAACTTGGCATCATGTTTCTGAGGTTCATCCGTGATGTGGCGTGAATCAGCATTTCATTGTTCCTTCTCTGCTTTGTTGAGGTTTAATTGAGACTTAAGCGTTGCATATATTTAAGGTGTACAACTGGATGATTTGTCACATTTGTGCATTATGAAATAATCACCACAATTGAGCTAATTAACATATCCATCACCTCACATATTTACCATATCTTTTTTTCTGTTTGTGGCGAGGACACTTAAGATCTGCCCTCTTAGCAAATTTCGGATGTACAATATAATATTGTTAACGATAGTCACAGCATTGTACATTAGGTCTCCAGAACTTATTCAATTTGCATCACTGCTTTTTTTTTTTTTATTGTGAGAAAAACACATAACATAAAACTTAATCATCTTAACCATTTTCAGATGTGCAGTTCAGTATTCACGTCATTGTACAACAGATCTGTAGAACTCTTTCCTCTTGTGAAACTGAAACTCTATACCCATTGAATGACACCTCCCCTTTTCCTTCTCCCCTCTCCTGCTGGGAATTACAGTTCTACTTTTTGTTTCTAAGAGCTTGACTCCTTTAGCTACCTCCTAGGGGTGGGCTCATGTAGTATGTGTCCTTTTGTGACTTGCTTATAACACTTAGCATAATGTCCTTAAGGTTTATCCAGTTTGTAGCTGTGACAGGATTTCCGTCTTTTTTGTGGCTGAGTAATATTCCCCTGTATGTATATAACATATTTTGTTATCTGTTCATCAGTTGCTGGACACGTGGGATGTTTCTATCTCTTGCCTATTGTGAATAATGCTGCTCTGAACATGGATGTACAAATATCTGTTTGAGTTGCAGCTTTCAATTTCTTTGGGTGTATACCCAGAAGTGTGTAAATAAAGTTTTATTGTAACACAGCCATATCTATTTGTTTACCAATTGTCTAAGGCTGTTTCCCCTTGTAAAGTGATTTTCATATCAGCCAACTTTGCATTCTTGGGATAAATCCCATTTGGTCATAATCCTTTTTAAATGTTGCTGGATTGGGTTTCTTAATATGTTGTTGATGATTTTTCTGTCTATCTTCATAGAGGATATTGGTCTATAGTTTTCTTATAACATCTTTGTCTTGGTATTAGGGTGATTAGGTGATCTCACCTCATGAAAAAAGTTTGGAAGTGTTTGTTTCCTCTTCTTTTCTTTGGAAGAATTTGTGAAGTATTGGTGTTTTTCATTGTATTTTGTAGCATAATGTAGGTCTCCTCATGCTCTCTTTTGTAATGTAAAAAGAGGCAACTGAGAAGGAATAGTATCTTTGTGCTTCTAGATGTTGTTGGTGTCATCTCTGCGTGATGCCTGGAGCTATGGCAGTCTCTTTGTGACTAGGAAGGGAGTCATCCCGAGGCAATACCCTCAGGATGTCAGTAGAAAGTAGGAAAGAAGGAGTAGAAGAAGGAAAGAAGAAAGAGGAAAAGTTCTTGATGAGCAACTGAATAATCAACCCTGGAGCCTCTCTTTCTCTCTTCTGTTTCTTTCTTCTTTCCCTTCTCTACTCTCTCTCTCTCTTTCTCTCCCTCTCACCCCACCCACATCTCTTTTATGTGAAGTAACACTGTCTTTATTTTTTTTTAAGCTCCTTTTTGTTAGGTTTTCAATTATATGCAGCTGGCAATATCTGATACTGATTATGGTACCCCCTTCAACAAGAGCACTCCCTGTCTTCTTTATTGTCTCCCACTTCCTATATCATCAGGCTAAGAGAACACAAATTGCACCTGCAGAAAAATAGCATCAAAGGGACCAGACAGTCATTGGATTCTGTGGAAAGCAAACCAAGTACAGACTCAAGGTTACATGGAATACAACTTTGCTGGGACCCTTTAGGCTGTTAGGAACATTAAAAAATCCTTAAGGGGTTACCATTTTTGCCTCTTGCATGAAAGTGTGTAAAATAAGGGGCCCGTTGGGTTTGGAGAGACCTCCAGTGGAGCCTGAAATATAACTCACAGAATAACTGTGTATGTTAGTCAGTGTTCCCCAGAGAAACCAGGCCAATAGAATTCTGAGACGGCCCCCCATTTCAGACTCCTGGTATATACACCCTATGCAATTCTCCTTCCTCAAGTGTGGATGGTACTGTGAGCACAATGATTAGGTTATGTTATGTGACATAAATGAAGAAGTTTCTCAGATATAATTAAGGTTCCAAATCAGTTGATTTTGAAAGTGGGCCTGACCTAATCAGATGAGCCCTTAAAAGTGACTGAGTGCCTTCTGAAGAGATTGATTTGAAGTGCGAGGGGGCCTCTGGGGAGGGCCATGTGGCAAGGGCTTGAGAGCACCCTCTAGTAGCTGAAAGTGGTCCCCAGCTGACAGCTAACAAGAAAATGGTGACCTCAGTCACATAGACCCAAGGAAACAAATTCTGTCCATACCTTGAAGCTGCTTGGAAGTGGTTCTTTCCCTCACTGAGCCTGCAAGTGAGGATGTACCTGGCTTCCAAGTTGATTTCAGCCTTGTGAGACTGCCTTAGTCTGCTCTGGCTGCTATAACAAAAATACCATAGACGGAGCAGCTTAAGCAACGGACATGTATTTTTCACTGTCTGAGATCTTGGAATTCCAAGGTCAGCATGCTGGCAGATTCTGCTTCTGGTGAGGGCCCTCTTCCTGCTCTGCAGATGGCTGTGTTCTTGCTCTGTGCTCACATGGCAGAGCTCGAGTGATCTGGTCTCTTCATTTTCTCATAAGACACTCTTCTCATCATGGGGCTCACCCTCATGACTTCATCTAAGGCTAATTACTTCCCAAAGTTCCTGGAACATAAATGATTAGGGCTTCAGCCTCTGAATTTGGGGGGAGGGGGACACAAACATTTAGTCCAAACCCAGAGCAAAGGACCCAGTTAAAATGTGCCAGTCCTAGCCTACAGAAACTGTGAAATAATAAAATTGTGTTACTTTAAGCCACTAAGTTTGTGGTAATTTTTTACACAGCAATAGAAAGTTACTATAGGTAACATTTCAAATATCACTCCTTTATGTTGGAAAAAATAGGTAAATGATCGACATAGAATAGATTGTGAAAAGTAATGTTTGACCACTGAGAAAATTATGTAGGTCAATGCCCCAGAAAATTTCCCTTTCTTCCTTTTTCTTTTTCTATTAAAGGTTGTCACTACTTATGGGACCCCAAAGACAAGGGACAGATTTGGGGAGAGTGTAGGGAATGCTTTTGGATCTTCCCCCAAAGAGTTGTCCAGGTGTGTCGGCTGTTGGGAGGCAGGGGTTCCTGAGAGGCCCTCATCCTGGCCCTGGGATAGCCATAGTCAGCCCTGGCTTGTACCCGCTCTGGGGCTCCTTTTGTCAAGAGGAAATCTCCACGCAAGAGCATCCTAGTGTTTAAAAAAAATTTTTTTTTAATGTTTGTTTATTTTTGAGACAATGCAAGAGACAGAGTGCAAGCAGTGGAGGGGCAGACAGAATCTGAAGCGGGTTCTAGGCTCTGAGCTGTCAGCCCAGAGGCCTACGTGGGGCTCGAACTCATGAACCATGAGATCATGACCTGAGCTGAAGTCGGACACTTAACCAACTGAGCCACTCAGGCACCCTAAGAGCATCCTAGTTAAGAAGAGCCATGGCATCAGGAAAGATGGCTTAAAATACATGGGGCCAAAATCTGGTTGAGTATTATTTCCCTATGGTGTGAGATACAGTTATTTCTTGAAACCCTCTTACTCAGGAAAAACTGCTCAGGCAAATCTAGTTGTTTTTTTTTTCCCTAAAGTTTATTTATTTATTTTGAGAGAGACAGAGAGTGAGCAAGGTGGGGAGAGGGGCAGGGAGAGAGGAGGACTGGGGATCCGAAGTGGGCTCTATGCTGAGAGCAGAGAGCCTGATATGGGACAAGAACTCGTGAACCCGTGAGAGCCAAATTCAGCCAAATTCAGATGCTTAACCAACTGAGCCACCCAGGTGCCCCTGGGCAAATCTAGTTTGCTAGGTAGCTCACTTCTCCAGTTATCAGCTTGGGCATCAGTCATAGTTATTAGGCATAGCATTAAGATCATGACTGTATGTTATTAAAGTGATTACAAAGTATTTTTTAAGAATTTTAAAATGTTTTTTGAAATTTATTTTTGAGAGAGATAGAGAGAGCATGAGCAGGGGAGGGGCAGAGAAAGAGAGAGACACAGAATCTGAAGCAGGCTCCAGGCTCTGAGCTGCCAGCAAAGAGCCTGATTGGGGCTTGAACCCATGAACTGTGAGATCATGACCTGAGCCGAAGTCAGACACTCAACTGATTGAGCCACCCAGGTGCCTCTCAAAGTGTTTTTTAAAAG